AAAAATCAAGACTGAAGTATATGTGGTTATCAGAGGCACTTTATACAGAAAAACTCAAATTGTAATGTAAAGGATAAAAAAGTATGTCAAGCACACGTTAATTATCAAAAATATGTAGGGGGTATATAAATAGTAGGAAAATAGATTTTAGTAGAAAAATATTAACAGAGACAAAAGAGACATTTCATAGTAATAAAAGATTATATTTTGAAGAAGACAACAATATTAATATACTGTATATACACTGATGATAGAAGTTGATTATTACATGAAGTAAAATCTTACAGGACTGTGGTGGTTTTAAAATATATCCACTAACTTTTTAATACTCCTCCCTTCAAAAAGTAAAGTGTAATCCATCATCCTTCATGTGTGCATTACACTTATTAACCTGTTTATAATGAATAAAATTTGACAGAAGCGATGGTGTGTGACTTCTGTGACTAGGTCATAAATGGCATCATCGATTCCTCCTCTTTTCACATGAGGAATCCCAGATCGCATGTTTTAGGGGAAGCCAACTGCCATGTCATAGGTACACTAAAGCAGGCCTATGGTGAAATACATGTGGCAAGGAGCTGAAGCTTTCTGCCAACAGCCACCTTAGGAGTGGATTCTCCAGCCCCATTAGAGCCTGAAGACGATGCTAGCCCTGGCTAATGTCTGGATTGCAACCTCACGAGACATCCATGCAAGTGAAGAGAACCACTCAATAAACTGTTCTGAGTTCTGATCCACAATAACTTTAATATAATAAATGTTTACTATGATAAGTTTCTAAATTTGGGTTAATTTATTATGAAACAACAGATAACTAATATAAGGTCTGAACAGTGAAATGGAAATATTTACAATTATAGAAATTTGAAACATAGACATATTATGAGGTATTATACAATTACAAGTAACATTTATCTCTTAGCACATGGTCAACAAATAAACAGTGAATGAATAACTATAAAAAGTAACACTATCAAACAACTTGACTTAATTAAACTTTATAGAACATTCCACCTTTGAACAGCGGACTATCATTGGTTTTAATTGAATATAGTCATTAACTAAAATAGACCATATGCTAGAATAAAAAAAGTCTCAAGAAGTTTAAAAGTGTAGTATTTGCAGTAGCATCCAAAACAATGAAATATTGAGAGGTTTAAGGAAATATGCCGAAGACACATACATTGAAAACTACAAAGCACTGATTAAAACATTCAAGATTTAAACAAGTGGATACATGATATATTCATGAGGTGGAAGGCTAAATATTGCTAAAAATATCAGTTTTCCAAAATTTATCTATAGATTCAACCCAGTACAATAAAATTCCCTGATACATTTTTTTGTAGAAATTGATGAGCTGCTTTTAAAAACTGTGTGACAATGCAAAGGATGTTGAACAATCCAAAACATTTTGTGAAACAAAATTGCAGGCTTTACATTACCTAACTTTGAGACCGCTATAAAGTTAAAGTAATGAAGATTGTGATATTGGCATAAAAATACAAATCAATAAAAAAAGAGTCCAAAAATAGACTTACATATGATCAACTGACTTCAGAAAAAAGCACTAACATAGGTTATTTGAAGGGGGAATGATATCCTTCCCAACAAATGGTGCTGAAATAAGTGGATAGCTGTATGGGAAACAGATGGGAAGTAAGCCTTTTTAACTTCCCAGAAAACAGGAAGATATACTGAAATAAATCATAAACTTACATCACCAAGACTATAAAATCTCTAGGGAAAAATAGGAAAGATAATGTTCACAACTTTTGGATAAGCAACAATTTCTGAAATGGGACACAAAAGTATTAAGTATACATGAGAAATACTGACAAATCAGACTTAACCAGAATTAAACACTTCTGTTATTCTAAAGCAGCTGTTGGTTCACAAACTGGCCCCTGTACTTGGAGAGCATTGAGAGACCAAAGAAAGAAGCAGACCACTCCAGATGGTAGGTGGCAGGTTTAATAAGCAAGGAAACTTATGTAAGAGGTGACAGGGCCACAAGATGAGTAAATCTCTGTGCCTGCACCCCAGAACCTCAAAAGTTTATATCAAAGACTTCACTGGGTTCAGTCACAAACACTGTCCAGATGGTCTCTGCAATACATTACTATCTCAAGGCTGTGTCCTTGAAGCAGCTTCTAGTGCAGGGAAGGCAGGAAGAATTCATATTCCAAGGACAGCAGAGAGCAGCATAGGGAGGGGTCCAGCTTGCACATCAACCGATGACCAGAGCCTCTCAGTGACCTCCAACAGCTGCCAAGAACTGAAGAGTCAAGGCCCAGACTGAGGACAATATGCACTATATGAAGTATATTTGACACAGGACTTCTTTTCCAAAATATATATTTTTAAATCATTGAACTTAATGCTAATATAACAAATAAAACAATTAGAAAAATGAGCAAATGACATGAACAAGCATTTCACAAAATAATAGAAATTCCCAGTAAGCTCATGAAAACCTTTTTAGCATCTTTGGAAAATGCAAATAACAATACCAGTAGATAGCACTGTGTGACCACTGGAAGTGCTACAATTAAGTAATATTAGGTGTTGGTAAAGATACAAAACATCTGGAACTCTCATATCACCGAAGGAATTTAAAATTATATAACCATATTGAAAAACAGTTTCATAATTTCTTATAATTATGCACCCATCAAACAACCCAATAATATCATTCTTAGAAATTGAGGGATATACATATATGTCCACACACACAACATTCATATATTCATAGTAGCTTTATTCATAATAGCTCAAAACCTGAACAATACACACTGTACTTCTATAGGTAAACATGTAACAAGTTGTGATATGTCCACACAGCAGAATACTATTTGGTAATGAAAAGGAATGTGTCACTGATGTAAAGCAACAACTTGGCTATACCCTAAAAACAGTGAGCTGAGTGAAAGAAACCAGACAGAGAAGACTGTTATTTTATTATTTCACTCATATGAAGTTTGTGAATAGCTAAAATAATCTATAGTGACAGATCAGATCAGTGGTTGCCCATGTCTAGGGTTAGAGTTTGGGGGAATTACTATAAAGGGTAGAATAGAAAAATTGGGGGAATAATAGGAATAGATTATATATTAACTGGGGGGTAATTGTAAATGGGAGTTTATTCTTTTAAAACATATCAAGTGGGTACATTTATTTTGTGTGTATTGTTCCTCCAGTAAGTTTATTTGAAAAACATAGCACTGAAAATACTGGTTCTGTATCTCAATTTTGGATAAATAATTTTGTGTCCCTCCCCCCCATGTTAAGTCAGACAAGAAGAGTTGGCATTAGAGATTGTAGTCTTATCTCAAGATTTGGGCCAGATTTCATTTTATAATTTTCACAGAAAAGAAAAAATGATTATACATTTCCCTAGTACTAGCATTAACAGAACTAATGAAGACAGAATAATGAGGGATATTAAATCATCACCATCTTGCCAGTGGTTCTCAATCAATTCTATAATGAATATCCTTTCAATAAAATAAAGGAGGTATTTTAAATAATCACCTAATTTCAATATAATATTTTAAAAAATCAATACAATGTCTTACATATAAAATAAAAAGGAAATAAATCATCTACATAAAACTATGTATTTCAATATGTAAATACTTGAATAAAGCCACCTTAATAGACAAAATGATACAGAAGCCCAAACCTATTCCCAGAGGTACCATTAATATGACAGATGGGACATTGATAGTGTCCTGCAGACAATACCATGAGAAAGTTGTTATCAGTGATGTGATTTTCTGAAATGGGAAACAAGATTTGGTAAAGCTAAAAAAAACACCAAGTATATTATTTCCTCAGTGTATGTAGTAGATGCATCCTAGAAAATAAAATTCATGCAAAAGTTTTATGTGCAACATAGACTTAAATTAGGCTTCAAATATAATGCAAGTTTTGTTTTGTTTTGTTTTGTTTAACCTAAATGGATGCTCAGTGGCCCATCCAGAAGTCCCCGCAGTACAATTTACGTTGTGGGACTGTCCCACCCACTGTGAGACAAGCAGCACTCCGGCCTCTGGTACACTAATGTTGGTGGCATCACCAATCACCGAGGAAAACGAAAGAGAGCCTGAAAGTCTCAGAAAAACCCAGTCAGGAGCGGTTTTAAACCTCCTGTGAATCACAGACCATAACAAACAAACAAACAAACAAACAAACAAACAAACAAACAAACTAGTAAGGTCCTGTCATCTGAACCTTCAGTGGCAAAAGATACTTCCAAAAATTCTGTTGATTAAAGGGAAGAAATGGGGATTGGAAGAGACACAATTTTTAGTCTGAAACGAAACACGTGTAAAGGCCTTTTTATCTTTAAAGAACTGCCTGGTGACTGAACTGAAAACCTAATTCTATTCTTCACATCGATCATGAACATTGCAATGGAGCGAGCGGGTGTATGCTACTCTGTTCTGCCCTTGCTGCCCCGCCAGCGCTCTGCCAGCAGTAGTCGCGTGGCCTGATTCGCAGCCTCCCCGGGACCACCTTCGGCCCTGCAGTTAACTTCGACGTCTTCCCGGCCCTTGGGAAGGTCTTGTCACCCACGAGAACTACCCGGATGCAAGGTGCCAGTACAGCCTTGCCAGGCCTTTCTCAGGAGGTGCATTTACCCAGCTTTGGCGAAGTTCCTAACTGTGCACATTTTCCCCAAGTCATGTTTCCACGAGCAGGGATTTTACAGATCACGAAGTGCTTCCTACATCAGTTACTTCCTCTAACTTACAAGTTCAGCTAAGAGATCAAGCAGGGAATGATCCCTCCTCAGAGGGCAGGACCGCTACAGGAAAGGCCTTTTTCACCGAGGACCCTTTAAGGGCCTGTGCCTGGACATCCTCGGGGCGAGGGCGTGCGAAGGGGAGGGTGGGGGAGTGTCCTCTTCCTCCCACCCCCCATCCTCCGCCCTCGGCGGCTGAGCCAAAGCCAGTGGGGGCTGTCTCCTCCTCTTACTCAGCAGCTGCCGCTCACTCGGCTCACAAGCCAGGGCAGGGGACCAAGCGGCAGAGAATCCTCCGGCTGCTGAGAAGTGGATCCTCTCGGGGCCACCAGGATGCCAGGAGCCGCCAGGGTCCTTCTGGTCCTGCTGCTCAGTGGGGGCCTCGGGGACGGCCAGGAGCATCGGCTGCAGCAGCTGCCCCAGGCGCATCAGCAAAGAGGTACAGTCGAGGCATGGGCTCTAGATAACAAACTTTGTCGGCCAGAGGGTGCTCACTGGTCCCTTCTTCCGACAGTTGCCGGCAGGGGACCGCTTTCCTGCTCTGTCCTTGGGGTGCACTTTGGGGCAAGAGGGTCTAAGCTTGAAGCTAGTTCACTTTTAACTCCCTGAGTTGGGTAAAGGGAATCGCCTGTCTTTTCTCAGAGAACATGAAGTGCTTTTCGTTGTTCATTCGTTTCTCAGAGAACTTACTGTCACTATCCATCCTGCAAATTGAGTTCCAAAATCTTTCCAAGAGGCAAACTTTTAACCAATTGAAAAGTTTCTCCAAACCAGATTCTTTCCCTGCAGAGAAAGGTTTCCCAGGCTGCAGCTCATCTTGAAAGTTTATGGAAGGCAGCTGATTTTTTTTAAGGGACTTTGTAACTATTTGAACAAGGTTTGTAAAGTGGTTAGGTACGTGGATTTTTTCTTTCATGTCAACAGCACCTCCAGCCTCCCGTTGTCTTTACCCACATCCTATCTCAGGTACCTATTACAGTGAACTTTCGCCTCGTTTAAAATACAGAGGAGACTGCGATGTCATCTGTATTTTAATTAAGACCAAAATGACCAGATATAAACTGCAGGGGACTTTGCAAAACAGTTGTGTTTAATGTAACTCAAATTTATTCTCTTCAGAGAGCTTTAATGTTTATACGCATATCATTTCTGAAACTCTGGGGAACCTTTGAAGAGTTATTTTATGATTATGAATTTTAAAAGAAGCACATGTGCAGTGTTTTAAAAACACAATTTATAGTATACAGTTTCAGCAAACATTTCTGTAAATTGAAAAACATGCATCAAAGGAAAAATTAAGAAATATTTAAGGTTTGTTCTCCTATATCATAGAATTTACCCTAAGAGTAAAAAACATAGGGGTTAGCCACTTTTGAAAGTTTTAATGAGGCTGTGTCTGCCAAATTTTTGGAATACACTTATTCCTCTTCCAGTTAACTGAAATAAAGCTGTGTCTAGTAGTTACGATAGTTTTCCTCCTGTATTCTAGAGTTTCTAGCATTACTATTTTATTTAAAAAGGAATTAAAAAGTACTCTAAGCTTCTTGTTACAATACGTCCCTGGTTAAAATTCTGAGAATAAAAATGATCTAAGTTCACCATATGATTTTTCCTTCTATTTTTGCTTTTCCTTCTCTGAGAGGTAAAATGAGGTCAATGTGGCTTAATTAATAGCATTTATGAGACAGTGATTTTGAGAATAGATCTGACAGCTGATTATAAAAATACTATTTTTAAGTGTTAGCTGTGCTCAGTTATAAAATATGCTTTAACAATACACAATCCTTTAATACTGTCAGGCAGCTGGGAGTGAGAGAGGCCAGGAGCACCAATCCTTCAGGTCACTTGCAGAGTAGGGACCAAGTAGTTCCTCAGAATTTTCCTTAGTGCGTTTCCCTTCCCCTTTCTCTCCTCTCTCCTCCTCTCCCCTTCTCTCCTCTTCCCTCCCCCTTCCCCATCCCTCTCATTCTTCTTTGCTTCCTCACCCCTCTCACCTCCACCCTTCCAGCTCAACCTCCCCTCCCCTCCCCTCCCCTCCCCTCTCCTCTCCTCTCCTCTCCTCTCCTCTCCCCACCATCAAATAAAATGAACTCTGATTTCTATGGTCTAGGTATACCTTGAGGCAAATGCAGAAGGGAACTTTTATATTGCCATTTTGTTGAAAGAAAACTCAGATGCTATATACAATAAGGGATTTTATGTAAAATAAATATAACATTGAGTGTACTATATAGACTGCTATAATCTAGAATAAATTGTATACAATCTAGAATCTGTTGTATATTTTTATGGATTCTTTATAATATATTTAGAATTGATTCAAGGATAAATGGTTGAAACCTGCTAATAGTAAGAGTATATATATATATATATATATATATATATATATATATATTTCATAATACCTTAAGTTTGTATAGTGCTTTATAACTTAAAAATGCCTTACATGCCTGAGCTTATTTAACCTTCCACTACTGTTACCCTTACTGGACACATTGAAAACCTGAGGTTTGGAGTAGCTGTGACTTCAGCTAATGCAACTGATAATAAAGTTACTTTTAGGAACTGAAATAACTTAGTTTTGTTTATGCTGAAATTCTCTTTTTATGATACCAAGATTTCTTTCTATTTATTTTTTGAGGCATACTTCCTTTTTAGTGCTGTGCTAAGTCAAGTTCTCAATGAAAATCATTGGATAGAATTTGATAAAAGTGTTTTCTTGGCTATCATCACTTTTTTCCTTTTTGATTATACTAGCCCTGACATTCTTGGCCAAACACTATTGTTGAGAATATGCTCTGTTTTTTGTTTTAATACAGTGCCAATTTATTGAGAATGTTGACATGAAGCAATCATTTTTAAATGTTGAATTGAATTAGAAACTTAACCAGATATTTTGTTTGTTTTTAAAAATCTTGTGTGGTTTCTATAGCATATAAAATTGTGGTATGAATAGCATTGATTCAAAAAGAATTGTATTTCCAGGAAATCCTTTAACCAGATTTTAGTGACAAAATAGAAGAATGATAGTCAAAGTGGTTTTGCATTTCAGTAAGACAGTCTTTTCCTGACATTCTTGTGAATAGTATGTGGCAATGGTAATGTAATGGTAGGTAAATCACAACTGATTGAAAATAGTTACGAAAGAATATTGCATAATGGGTTGAAGTTAATCTGGAAAAAAGGTGTCTAGAAGTGTGAGAGATGTTTTCTTATGTTTATTTGTCCTGGTAATGGCTTGATGAAAAACATGAAATCCAAGCTTATCAGAATTTCAGGAGGTCCAAAATTGATTTTGGTAGCTAAGCTGGTAAAAAACAGGGTCAGGAACTTTAAAGAACTCTGTAATGTGTACCACGAATAGGACATACATGAAGTTGGTTTTATTATTTGTATCTAGATATCAAATAATTTCATTTGCCCTATTCTGGAAATTTGTTGTCTGCTTTATATTGCATAGGAATGAATACAAAGACAGGATGAGAAAGGACAAGTCTGAATTTCAGTAAGTTCAGTGTGAACATGTAGTGTGACAGGAATGTTAACCAACTCACTTTTATAAAAACTCATAGAAGCAGCTAAGGCTGTTGTGGCTCAGTGGATTGAGTGCTGACCTGTGAACCAAATGGTCTCTGGTTCAATTCCCAGTCAGGGCACAGGCTTGGGCTGCAGACCAGGTCCCCAGTAGGGGGTGCACAAGAGACAACCACACATTGATGTTTCTCTCACTCTTTCTCCCTTCCTTCCCCCTCTTTAAAAATAAAATAAATAAAACCTTTAAAAGACTCATAAAAGCAGATTGGTTTGTTAAAACACATTTGGGTGCTTCATTGACAAATGGATATGAATTCAGAGGAGCTGGAACACAATAGTTAGGAATCTGAAAATTCCAAGTATAGTTTGTTAATTTAGAGAAAGAAAGATTGAGAGAATCCAAGAGATATCCTCAAAGTTTTGGAATGTTGTTATATGCAAGAGAGGCTAAATGCCCTTCCTAAAGCCTAAACTCAGATCCATAGAAGTATACGACCAAGAGGACTGTTTAAGTTCAATAAAATGGGAGGAATCCTGCCCTTTCTCCCCATTCTGATCTGTTCAGACATAACTGGGAGAGCACCTAGCTTCTGGAAATGTGCATGCGGTGAATAGATGCACAGCTTTTGGGGGGATGCTTTGGTATGGAATGCCTCCACAAAGAAGTTAGGACTCATGTAGTCCCCAGTCCTTTTCTGAGTCCAGCATTCTAGTATTGCATTCTATTGTCTTTGGAGTGCAAACTTGCATTTAACCTTCTGAATTCTTTAAAATGTCAAGTAAATACTAAATGTACATAACTGTTTTAGATGCCTTTTGGGATTTAAAATAAAAACATGTTTGAGACAGTCCTCACATATTGTTGGCAAGCATGCCTCAAAATCTAATATGGAATTTCCACCTCACCATCAATTGCAGTTCTAAAACATCCTGTGCTATAAAATACAAGAACACTTTATAAATTACTTGAGAATTTTTTCAGGGGATTTACTGTAGCTATAAACCTGAAGTTAATTTTTTGGAGTATCTTCTTTTGCTTCATATGTAACTTATTGGCTCATTTACTACATACTAGTCTAATAGTTTCAAAAAAATCATTAATTACAGATAAATTTATTGCTGAGAATAAGAACATTCAACATTGACTATTATGTTATAAGTATGTAAAATTTTAATGACAAATTTTATATTATGATTTTTATTCTCATATATCAGTATATGCAAATTGCTAGTCTATCTTATTTTTAAAGCTTTTATACTAGGATTTCATACAAAATGAACTCAAAGAGTTGCTAGGGATTATGTATGTGCTCTGCCAATTCTTCCATAATTCATCTCAGTTACCATAGATCCTAAAATATGGGATGATTGACACCTACACAAATAACTACAGTGTTTACCTTTTGTAAATATAACTATTTCAAAACTTAAATACATATTCCAAGAGTTATTCCTAGGTACAACTGTTGAAGAAGGTATGAGTCTATATTTTACAGGATGGATTTAGTTAAATGGGAAGAAGAATCTCTGAAGCAGGTGGATTTTTAATTCTTATACCTTTCAACTGTACCACAGTAGGTATGACAAAAAGTTTACTTTTGGGTAGATCTTATTTCACAGCATTTTTCTCAGTCTCCACTTATATAATGCAGATAATTGTCACTTTTTTATTCATACATTTAGTAAATACCCATTATTCATTAACAATGACTAATGTGCTAGACATTTCTACTTGGATCTCTGAGACTGAATCATTGTTCCTTCTTTTGATTGGAATAGATTTGGCAGTGAACTATAAGAAAAAATTCACTTGAACATCATGTGATGTCGCACATCTTTCATAATCTGCTTTACAACCATGGGGTCACAATTCTGGACCACATTAGAAGTAGGGGAATTGGGACC